ATATTCATGGCAGCACAACTTATAATAGGCAAGAAATGGAAGCAACCTAAATGCCTATCAAAAGATGATTGGATAAAGAAGTTATGATTCATATATATGATGGAATATAAAGATGGAAAAAAAAAGTGAAGTGAGAACTCAGGGGGAAAAAAGTAGAAAATTCCAGAAATAATAATAATAAAAAAGAATACACTTATCATAAAACCATTTTACTCCTAGATATTTACCCAAAAGAAAGCATGCCCATACAAAGACTTGCACATGAAAGTTCATGTATGACCATGCCTTATCACACACTGAATGCTGGATATTAATTATGTTGGCCTAGGACAGCTGACACACAGAAAAGATCACAGCAGTTAGGCTTATCAGACACATTTACAGAGTAATTTTAACAGTAAAATAATTATCATGGTCACATTTTAAAAATTCATTCAGCGGACACTGATTAATCTACGTCTTTTTGTTTGTTTGTTTGGTCTTTATCGAAATATAATAGACAATGAGCTGCTTGTATTTACATTGTACAATTCAATAAGTGTTTTTCACTTATAGTTGGCATACAATATACCAGTTTCAGCTGTATAAGTGATCAGAGATCCAAATAACTTGCAAAGTGATCACCCCACCAAATCTAGTACCCCTTTTTCCTCTTACATATTTATTACATTCACCATTTTCCCCATGCTACATCTCTATGTCTATTTTGCAACTATCTATTTGTACCTCTTAATCTCTTTGCTTTTTTTTTTGGCCCTCAACTCCCCTCCTATCTAGTGTCCATCTAAATATTCTCTGTATCTCTGAGTTTATTTCCACTTTTGTTGTTGTTGTTGTTGATTTTGTTCTTTAGATTCCACATGTACGTGAAATCACGTGAAATTTGTCTTTCTCTATCCAACCCATTTCATTCAGTGCATCAAGGCAATTATCTCTTTCCATTCTCTTCCTTTTAGTCTCTGTGTGTCTTTTAATCTGAAGTGAGTCTCCTGTAGGCAGCCTGTGTAGGGGTCTTGTTTTCTTATCCATTCAGCCATTCTATCTTTTGGTTGGAGCACTTAATTCTTTTCCATCTGAGGTACTTATTGATAGGAATATAGTGATTACCATTCTTTATTCTTGTTTTTGATACACGTGTTTTCTTCTTAAAGAAGTCCCTCCAATATTTTCTGTAATACTGGCTTGGTGATGATAAATTCCTTTAGCTTATTTTTGTCTGGGAAGCTCTTTGTATGTCTTCAACTCTAAATGATAGCTTTGCTGGATAATGTATTCTTGGTTGAAAATCCTTTTTTGGATTTACACGTCGAATATTTTGTGTCAATCTCTTCTGTCCTGCATAGTTTCTTTCAAAAAATCAGCTGTCAGTCTTATGGGTAAGCTCCCTTGTAGGTAACTGCTTTTCTCTTGCTGCTTTTAGGATTCTCTCTGTATTTAACCTTTGGCATTTTAATTATAATGTGTCTTTGTGTGGGCCTCTTCGGGTTCCTGGTTTTTTGGGATTCTCTGAACTTCCTGGAGTTTTATGTTTATTTCCTTCAGCAGGTTAGGGAAGTTTTCCATCATTATTTCTTCAAATATATATTCAACTTCTTGTTTTCCCTCTTCAGGTACCCCTATGACACAGATATTTTTACTTTTAATAGTATCCCATAGGCTCCTTAATTTATTATTATAGTCTTGGCTCCTTTTTTCTTGACATTCTGATTGAGCGTCCTTGGCTTTCCCCTCCTCTATATCGGTGGTTCTATCCTCTTTATCCATTCTGTTGATTCTAATATACTCTTCATTTCAGATAATGTGGTCTTTATTTCTGTTTTCCTTTTATAATTTCCATTTCCATTTTTGTGGGGTTTTTTAAATCTTATTCTTAAATTTCTGAGTTCTTCTACACTTCCCCTAAGTTCACTGAGCATCTTTATAATCGGTGTTTTGAACTCTGCATCTGTTAGATTGCTTGACTCCATTATTTCTGGATCTCTGGTCTGTTCTCTCATGTGGTTTCTATTTCTTTGGCTTCTCACTTTGGCTGCCTTTCTGTGTCTGTTTCTATGTACTAAGCAACATTCTTAAGTTTCCCAGTCCTATTAGTGCGGCTTTGTGTGGTAGGTGTTTGAGCCTGTATCCCTTCAGGACCACCTGTTAAGAGTCAGCAAGGAATCCACAGATGCTGTGCTTATAGTTGCCTCAAAAGGCCACACAAGAAACCAAAGCCAGGTACCTCCAGTGTGAGTCTAGGCACTGCTCAGCAAGGGGCACCTGAAGAAGAGAGGACACATCTGGATGTGGCTTGGGTGGGTCTGCAAGTTGGGGGAGGCAGAGTTTCAGGGAATCCTCTGGGCAGAGTGACCTCTTTTAACCAGTTTGATGACATCTCTCCTACGGTGACTCTGCGTCTGCACACTTGGGAGAGGTGAGGGCTCAACACAGGAACAATGGATACTGCCGGCACTTCTGTACACAGCGAGTCTCGCCTTGGCCCTCACTCCGACAACTCAATGTCCCCCTGTAAGTCCCTGCATGGCTGAAATGGCACTGTTGCTCAGAGCTAGCAGGTCCATCACCGCTGGCAGACATGGCCCCTTTGAGAGGCGCCTGCAGCTGCTGCTGCCACAGACTCTGTCTCACTCAGCCACTGGGGACCAGGCAGCCTCTAGTCTTTGCCCTGTCCTACCTTTTGCTGTTGCAAGGTGATTTCTTAGATTTCTCCCTAGTTGTATGGCCTGTTTATCTAGACCCCAGGTGATTTTTCCTTGCTGTTTGCTCCTTGTTTCTGTCACAACTTTGATTTGGTCATCAGAGGGATGAACAGAGCTCTATCATCTACGTCATTTTTTTCTTCTCCTAACCTATGTATTTTTTATGATGATCATCACCAACATCATCATTATCATCATTATTATTGATAGCTGCAACTACTGAATCTTCATTGTGTCCTAGACGCTGTTCCTGACACTTTAATTGCATTACCTCATTTAATCCTTGAGATGTAGTAGCCCTTTTTCATAGGTGGGGAAAGGGAAACTCATAGAGGTTAGTATGGCAGACTGAAGTTGAATAATCCAGATATCTAACACCGAACCTTTTTCCGTTAAGCTACACTGCCTCTCAGCTCCACATTACCCCAGGATAAGCAGTAGGCTCTATGACTATATCCTTTGTAGCAGTGGTAAGACCTTAGTAGGGAGCAAAATGTGGAAATCATGAGTCAGAAGAACTCATTCATTCAGTCAATAAATAATTACTGAATGTCAACTATAAGTCAGGCATTATTTTAGTAGTGAAACAATAGTAAATAAATGTTAAATATACATTTTCACATTGTTGCTATTCTTGTATTTAACTGGGAACAAAAGACATTCTTTAGACCAGGGGTCCCCAACCCCAGGGCCGCAGACCAGTACCGGTCCGTGGCCTGTTAGGAACTGGGCTGCACAGCAGGAGGTGAGCAGCTACTGAGCAAGAGAAGCTTCTCTTATTTGCAGCCGTCCCCCGGCCCTAGCACCACCACCTCAGCTCAACCTCTGATCATCAGGCATTAGATTCTCATAGGCGCACCAGACCCTGGTGCCAAAAAGGTTGAGAACCACTGCTTTAGACTCATGCAGGTATAGCATATTAAAACAGTACCTTCATTAGAGTAAATTGACATAAATTGGTGCATTATTTTCCTTATTAGAATATAATCATTTTACACTGTTTTATAAAGTACATATAACTTCAATACTTCCTCACCAACTAATTTCAGTTTTAGGAATAAGATTTCTGATTAAAAAAAGCAACCTGGCTCTTTCAAGAATCCAAGTGCCTCTTCTAGCTGTTCATTAGATGGACAATAGCAGTTGCCCTGACAACAAACTCCCTTTTTGAAGCAAGCTTAACAGCTGCCACTTCGAAAGACGAGAAGTGATCCACTCCCCATGCCTGTGCATTCTGTATTTCCTTTTCATCATACAAGATGGAATGCAGTCTACAAAATACAAAGGGGGTTGTTCTCTTAGCTTCACCTTCGTTTAAATGAACAACCAATGACTGAATTAACTCCTATCCTCTATGGATATATGTTTTTAGTTTTATTTGTTCAAAAAAAATTTCAAGGTTTAAGATAACTAATTCTTATTATCTGTAAGCCACTTGGCTAACTGCTGCTGGCTATACAAAAATCAATGAGACCTAGCTCATACTATCAAGGAGTTTATTGAATAGTGGGAAAATCAGATGTTTATATAAGTAACTGATAGAAAGTTTAAATGAGCCACTGGAGGATGGCCTAAGAACTTAAATATCAAGTATAAAATTATTTCTACCAAGGTCCAAAAAGCTAGCTTACAATCTTTAGAAATGGAAATCACTTGTAAGCTGTAGACCATTTGTACTGAGTTTCTTCATTTATATTATCAGCAAAACAAATATAATGCCAAGCAAGAGGATACTCTTATTTTTCTTTTAAGTAGATTTAAAATGGCAAATTTGAAGGATTTGAATTCTTACCCAAAGAAGAAAGGAAAAAGAATAGAGAACAAAGACTATGTGTTAAGAAAAAAAGAAACTACTGCTAAATCTATTCCCTGAATGCTCTTCTTTCCATCTCCTAAGCAATCACCAAATTATTTCATTAAGTTACTTCTACAAATGCTACCTCCTCTTCTAGATAGGAAACTGCCTACAGTTTATCTTTCCATAATAGTACAGAGATACATTGCAAATAGCAGGAAATAATTAATGTTCTACCTCAAATTAGTAGCCAAGCTATCACTCTGAATTCATATAGCTGGTAGTTAGTCCTTAACCTCCCATTGTCTCACACAAGGCAACACTTCAAGAGGAAAATCTGACTAAGACTAGCAATGTCCATAACCACATTCATAAGTGGGATACAGGCCAATGACAGGATGGAATATTAAAATATCTGATTATTATGCAATTAAACATTAAGGACGTTTTTCAAAAATGGAATTTTTCTACATCTGAAAAATTGTGTTTTTCTTTTCTTAACAAACCTGTTTCAGATGCCTCTTCAGTAACTGCCTTAGGATCAAAAATGTTAAGTCTCTTCCCCTTGAATATATTTTTTCTAAATGGAAAAAGAAAAAACATTTTACTTAATGAATACTTTTATACACCATCAATAAAAAAATTGTTTGAGAAGAAAATCTTATATTAAATGTTCAATGTAGAAATTAAAAATAATTCTACAGACCCACATCAGATGTCTTAACTAAATTGTCATGTCTTTAGGACTGATACTGAAAACAGAAACAAATTCACTTGAATTTTAACATCATAATACAACAAAACAGTTAAAACAGTCTAATTTCCAAAATACCTAATTGAAAAGATCAGCTTAATTTGCCATAATTTTTATTTGATTGGTCTCATATTAATGTTATAGAAAAGTCAGTATTGTGGGAAGTATCAAAATATGCTAAATTAGAAGTTGTTAGGAATGAATCCAGGACTTCTGGTCAAGATGGAAAACTAGGTAAACACTGTGCTTGCCTTCTCCTGAGACATCAAAATTACAACTAAATTATAGAAAAATCACCCTTGAGAACCACCTGAAGACTAACAGAACAGAATTCCTATAACTAAAGATATAAAGAAACAACTACTTCAAAACTGGTAGGAGGGGCAGAGATGTGAAAGAGGCTGTCCCACACCCACCTGTGCAGGTTAAGAATCGGTAGGGATATCTCAGCTGCAGAGGTTTCCCGTAAAGAGTGAGGGGTCCCCAGCCCAGGACCACCAATGCCAGGAAGAGGAGTTGCGACAACTTCTGGCTGTGAAAATCGGCGGGGATTCTGTCTGAGTGAGATGGAGGGCTGCTGGAGTCCCAGGCACACTGACAGACTCACTGGCACTGAGCTCCAGTTCTGGGGAAGCAGCTCAACTGCACCAGGGACATATGGGAAGGAACTAAATCCTCTGGCTACAGGGTGAGGGCTGGAGAAAACAGCTCTAGCTGAGACAAAAGTGTTGGCAGGCACCATTATTCCTTTGTTGGGCCCTCCCCCCACATAGCCTACAGGCACAGGTAGAAGCCAAGTTTGAGTCTCCATCAAACTCACCTCCCTTAGTGATTCCCTGAGAAACCATCCCATTCAACTCTAGCACAGGCCAGAACCTCTTTCAGCAGCTGTTACTCACAAGCAGCCTACACTGAGGACGTTCCTAAAATCTCACAACGGTCCACAAACCCTACAAAAGCAGCCTCTGCCCTCGGCATACACTGTACCTCTTGCTAAGCAGCCCCCAGCCTGGCACTGGAAATCAGCCAGCCTCAGTTCATAGCATAGCCTTTCCCAGGCACCGCCAAGCCCACCACAGGGAGCTACCAACTGCAGAATCACTTTGTAGCTCCTCCCAAGAGGCCCCAGAACCAACACACCTGGTGGCCATACCAGAGGACCACCCAATCGGCTCCACAAAAGACACACCCAAAGGTGGACTAAGCAGGCACCAGAGCCCCACTACAGCAGATCCTACTCTGTGGGGTCAGCCCCCACACAACAGCTTGTCCACTATAGTCACAGTCAGTTCTCACAGACAGTTAGCCTGAGGGTCAATCCCTCTCACTGATGTGCCAACAGCTATCAAGGTTCAACTACAACAGAGGGGCACACACAACCCACACAAGTGACACTCCTGGAGAGCCCGGCTCAGGTGATCAGGGACACTGCGCCACTGGGCCCCACAGGACACCTACTACATAAAGACATCCTACCAAGACTGGAAGATGTAGCCAATCTACCCTCGCATGTAGAAGAAAAAAAAAAAAAAAAGAGGGAGGCAGCCAAAACGAGGAGACAAAGAAAGATGTCCCAATGAAAGTACAGAACAAAACTCCAGAAAAAGAACTAAATGAAATAGAGATAAGCAATCTTCCAGATACAGACAAAACACTGGTTATAAAGATGCTCAATGCAGTTAGGGGAAGAACAGATGAACTCAGTAAGAACTTACACAAAGAGATAGAAACCATAAAAAAAAAAAAACCCAATCAGACCAAAAAAAAAAAAGAACCAATCAGAAATGAAGAACACAATAACTGAAAAGAATATCTTAGATGGAATCGACAGCAGATTAGATGAAACAGAGGACTGAATCAGGAATCAGTGATTTGGAAGACAAATCACTGATTTTGCTGTTCTGATTGGTAGCTGAAAGCATCCTATCAGAACAGCAAAAGGAAAAAAAGATTTTTAAAAAATGAGGATAGATTAAGGAACTTCTGAAACAATAACAAGTATAACAACATTCACATTATAGGAGTATCAAAAGAAGAGAGAGAGCAAGAAATTGAAAACCTATTTGAAGAAATAATGACTGAAATCCTCCCTAACCTGGCAAAGGAAATAGACATACAAGTCCAGGAAGCGCACTTCCAAACAAGATGAACCCAAAGAGGCCCCTCCACACACAAGCAAAAAAAACTGTTAAAGTCAACTTTTGTCTTAGTTTAAGGGCAGAAAACACTGCATGTTTAATTACAAATTATAAAAGATTGCATGGATAAATCAAAACATTCTCACTTATAAAGCAATTGTTCTGTAATTTTAAAATAATGATCAACTTTTTTTACATAACTATTTTTAACTGTTGAAATTAATGTCAGAAAGTTAATAAGTTAACTTTTCCTTGTATATTTTAATCAACTGCTTTAGACTTTAATTCATACTTCAGTAAATTTACTGGCAGATTAAAAATCAGTTTATAAATGGAGGATTTATTTTTTAAAATAATTTTGAATTATTTTCTGGATCAAATTACTTTTTCCTACTAAATTAAACTAACTGAAAAATGCAAATACTATATTATAATTAAATAAAGTGATCTCACATCACATGTTTTCCTCTAGCAGGTTCCCAAATACTTATGAACAAAGGCATTTATGTTCCAGAACTATCCTCAGTGCCTTGCATTCTTCTCCTTACCCGGGTGGCAGTACCTCAACTTAGCACCAGATGAATAGGATGATAGATTAAAGTAACTCACAGTGAAGAGAGAAGGATTCAACAAAGTATAGAATTTTAAAATTGGAATGTACCAAAGAGGAAGGGAAGGAAACACATTTGTTGTGCATCTAGTACATATAGTTTACACATGGTTCTTTCACATTGTTTAAGAAAACCGTTTAAGCTAGGCTTCACTTTCAGCATTTTATAATGAGGAAAGACTGATGAGGCTTTGAAAGTCCCCAGTCACGGAATTCCCCAGTCAGTGGCACAGTGCCACACTTCTGAGGCAGGCCAGCACGATTCCAAAGCCAGTGCTCTGTGACTCACGTCTCTGTCTCTAACTGAAGAAATCAGGCCAGGTCTGGATTGTCTCAGGCTGTCCCAAGTCAGAGCAGAGTAAAAAATTTGGTATCTCACGAGTGCTTCTCCTTGTTCTAGAGTCCTTTCGTCAGCTTTTCATCACAGTCATTATAAGCACATACATGCCTTTCTTACTTTTTTAGCTTCATCCTTGGGACCTTCTAGTTTTTAATGATAGCTAATATCATTAAAAATATGGCATTCTGATGTAGTTACATGGATCATCTCAAAGAAGATTGATTCAAATAAGACTAAATTTAAATATTCTTCAGGAATCTTAAGTAAAACACTAAGATACATTATACTTTATTCAATAATATGTTGTAGTTATAAAATAACTTTAAAACAGTAATTCAGATAAGCTCTTGAAATTCACTGTAAGCTCTTGAAATTCCTTTGGTAACTGCTGACCATCTTTTTTAATCTTCCTGTACAAATTAATGTGAGCTCTTGAAATTCCAAAGTCACTGTAAGCTCTTGAAATTCCTTTGGTAACTGCTGACCATCTTTTCCGATCTTCCTATACAAATTAATAATTTAACATCTGGAAGGAGCTAACTCAAATTGCTGAGGTTATACTTAAAATCCTTAAAATATGCATCAAAAATAATCCATTTGTGAACACATTTGCTATGAAGTTGAGTTGGTTTTTGTCAGACCATGCTAAATATCTGGTTCCTCCTACCCAAATATCACTTTACAGGATTGAGAGAGAAAGAACAGAAACTTTATATAAATATAGATAGCTTTCTATTATAAAATAACCATGTAAGGCATAACTTAGCATCTTTAAAGAACTGCAAATTGCTAAATTCAAATTGTCACAAATAATCTACTACTTTAAGGTATTACAATGGATCTTTCTTTCTTTGATGGTGAGTTATTCCTCTAGGGTATGAAAAAAGATGATTATATAGATATAAAGGGTATATGAATATACATTGTTTGGCACGTATTGGAATGAAAAATAATGCTTCTCACAAAATGTTCATTTATTCAGAATTCAGTCAGCTCAAACTTATTCTAAATCAGGAACCCTCTATTCACCATGGGTAAAAGTGAGACAGGACCCAGTTTGATTTATAGTATAGAAAAGTATAGGAATGCTAAACTCACAACATCTTTCCCTCTCTAGGAAACAGTACATGCTGAGTAAGGAGACAGACATAAATGCAGCCATAATGCTCAGATGCCTATCAGCAATAATATGCATAACAACAAAGTAAATCTAAAGTTAAACAAAACAAAACCAAATAAACTGCAAACCTTTAATACCTTTTTCTAAGGTCAACGGTCTTTTCTTGGCCAGCATAACTGTCAGCTTCTTCATCAAACTGAATCTGATGAACTGGTTTTGTACTAACTCTAGCTGTGGCAGATCTGGCAACTTTCATATCTGATATTATGTTACTGAAACTGAAATAAGAAAAAGTTAAGCGTATTACAAATTTTATCTACAGAATAGTAATAACCTTTCTTAAACATGATTCATATCACTTAATTTTTATTTTACTTCTATGCAACAATACAACATAAAAAGTTATGTTTAAATAAAAGATCATGTCACATATTAACACTCACATTGCACAGACCACTAAGATTTGTTTCCTTGTCTTTTAAAGATGTTCTTCAAAAATGTTCATTTAAAACATAAATTGTCATTTGTGAAAAATTTTCAAACATCTAGAGCAGATGATATATAATCAATATCTGTATACTTATCACGTGGATTACAAATAAAATGAGTGCTCTGACTGATAGTCCAGTCATCTATATTTTTCTTTTAACCTCCTAAGATAAATCTTGCACACATGCTCTCTGAGAACTACTGATTTAGATTGCTCTCCAAAACAGAGCAGCCACTCCTGACATTTCAGCAGCAAGTGGTATAACCTGGCATAAAGTAATGAGAGATGAGAGAATGAGTGGAAAGAAGTCAGCTAAAACTTAATAATAAAAAGTAAAACAGAAAGAAACAGGCCTGAAGATCATCATACTATACATAAAAGCAGAAAATTATTTAACTGAAAAAAATTAATCTTAGAGAAACTGTTTTATTCTGTTATTTACTTTTTACAAAAAAATTTTTTTAGGCGAGGCAACCCTTGGTTGACCTCACAGATTGCAAGGACCTTGTCAGCTTACAATCCCTTATTTATTTTTTCATTTTTTATTTTTTACGCCTATAGCACCTGGTCTTCGTAAGTGGTCTCCCATCCAAGTACTAACCAGGCCCGACTCTGCTTAGTTTCCGAGATCAGACAGGATCGGGCTTGTTCAGGGTAGCATGGCCGTAGACTATCAATTATTTTTAACAATTTATCATTTATTTTTCAGGGACCAGAAACTGTGTAACTTCTCAAAAGAAAAGTTTAACCATTCAATTAGTCTTTTAAAAACTGCAATCTTATTAAGACATGAGGTTTTTTCAAACAAATTGCTAATATTCCACTTTGAGGCCTATGTATTATATAAATGAATATATTATGTATACCTGAAAGCCTATTTTGAGCTGTCATCATTGTTAATATAATTATTTGATTCACTAACCTAATTTTAGGTTTTATTCCATCTTTCTGTGCCCTTGAGTCTTCCTCATGCTGTTGGAGCTGCCTTAGCAGCTCCGACTTGGTTGTCTGCTTGTCAAAGGGGAGAGATTCTGCAACAGCGGATGCAGCAGCCACCAACTCTGGGCTCAGGGACTCACTTCTGAAAAAGAAAATGAAAAACAAAATGAGAAAGAAAAAAGGGGCATTACTTATGCCACTTAATATTAGTGGAAAGTAAAATGATTTTTCAGAGAAAACGTTTGTTCAAAAAAGTATCAATTTCTGACAAAAATCAAGAATTCTTAAATATTAGGTATCAAGTTTATATAAACTTAAATGTTAAAGGTTAAAGTTAATGGATACCTGCTGAAGAATAATACTAACTCAACAATATATTAAGGTGGCGGGGTGAAGGATCAGCCTTAAAAAATTTGTGGGATTTTTAATTTTAATGCCATTTTATTTCAAAAACAATACTTATTACAAGCAAGCACAAAAGTGGCTAAACCTGTTCATAGCTTTATTCATAATAACCTAAAACTGGAAACAAACCAAATGTCTATCATCAGAATAAACAAATTGTGATATATCCATACAATGGAATAATACTCAGCTCATACCTCAACATGAATGAAACTGAATAAGCTGGATTTAAAAAAACCATATACTGTATGATTCCATTTACATCAAGTATAGGCAAAATTAATCTAAAGTGATAAAAATCAAAGTAGTGGTTGCCTCAGAAGGCTACTGTGGGGCAATATGAAAATGAGTAATATTTTGTGTCTTGCTAAGTATCTGGGTTACATGGGCAGATCTGTTTGTCAAAATCCTACAGCTAAGCTTTATACATTTCAATGCAAGTAACTTTTACCTGAAAAAAAAAAATCATTATCATCATCAAGTAGAAGACTGAAGAAGGGTGAAAGTACAGATGATACAAGAATGGCAGAATGTTGGTGATTATTGAAGCTGGGTGACAGGCACAAAGGGGTTTTATTTTTGTTTTAATGTTTTCAATTTTCCATAAGAAAAAGCTAAAAAAAAAAAAAAAAAAAAAGCTACTCTTCAGTGCGTAAGGGCAAGTTAATAGAAAAATATGCCAGACATAAAGAGAAATTTATATTTTTAAGTCAATAGGAACTTCTATCTCAATGAGTAAAATCTAAATTAATGTTTTACTACATCTGGCTTTCTACACTATGATCTGTTATCTAAAATAGAAATCAAAGTTCCCAAATCCCTGAAGTTGTTGAATAAAGATTTTAAGAACTTTACTTACTAAAATATGGGAGATCTAAAATCTGTTTGGAATGGGAAATAGAATGAAAAGAGGAAATATAACAATTAGTTAAAATGTTAACCTGTGAATAAGGCTTAAATCTTATCTCAAATCACTATTTCTCTCATAAACTGTGAGGTTTATTTTCAAAGTTTAATATATGTATATTTGATCAGAGTAAGCCAAGGATATATAGATGAGTATTCATTTTCTGGAACCATGCATTTTATGACAATGGTGTTCTTTATAGTTATAACTTCCGGGTTTGTAATTTGAAATGTTCTAATTAATAAAAATTGTGATGAAGCCTTTCATCAAAATAAGATAATTTTTACACACAGGGACTTCTCTACATATATTTTAACAAAATGATGAGAACTTGTTAAAATATTTAACAATCTATTCTATCCTATAACTCAGACTATTTCATGAATACATATTTTTTTACTTTATACCTTTCTGGGCTTCTAAATTTCTTTAAAAAGAACTGTGTGACATAAATAATTTCAGAAAAGGAACTCTGATGAGGTGAAACATACTATTTAGTGGACATGTTAATTGGCATAACTTTTGGCAAGCAATCTGGTGACATGTATCATAAGCTTAAAAACTATGCAAATTCTTTGACCCAGCAATTCTACTTCTAGGAATATGTGCCTAAAGAAAATAGATATGTGGAATTTGAGGGATTATTGCATACACTCAAGACCTAAGTAGTTCTATTCTCTATGCCTGAAAGGTAAATTATCTCTCAGCTATCTGCATGGGAGATGTTCCTCATTCTTATCCCCATCCAGATAGTAAACAAAGCTAAAATTTAGAAATAGCTTCTGAATGGAGATCAAATTCAGGGCAGTGTCAAGAAAACATAGTGTAAAGATGGACAGGACTTTAAAATCCTTTGTTAAGATCTTGGAAAGATTTAAGGTGGTCCCGCAGAGAGCCTGTCAAACAGGCAACAGGACTTCTAAGAAACTTAAAGGTATGGTCCCAGTCTCTCAGGAACTCAATGTAGAAGAGGACCTTGGTTCCCAAACTGTGCCCTAAGGCACCTGGAGCATAACAGGGAAATATATTGTCTGTTCTTGACCATTTAAATACTCATTCAATTTAGTGTATACTTTTAACATTATACTACTGCATTCCTTTTGATATCGTATCTTTGTGAAGATAACTTTCTGACAGTTGCTGTGATAAAAAGAAAGGTACTCCTCAAAAATCAAGGCAGCACAGGAAATGAGAGTGGTGGTATCCAATCTGATTTGAAGGCTAAATTATAAAAACAATACAAATTCCTCTTGGTTTTCTCTTGGAACACTCGCCCTGGGAACCTAGTCACTATGCAGTGTGAAAGCCCAGGCCACACTGAGAGGTCACATGTAGGTGTTTCTACTAAGAATCTCAGCCAAGGTGTCAGTTGACAGCCAGCAGCAACTGCTTAATGAGAAAATTTCAGATGATTCCAACTCCTGGACTTCTAAGTCTTCCAACTAAAGCCCCAGACACCATAGAGCAGAGAATTAGTCTTCTCCACTGTGCTCTGTCCAAACTGCTGACCCATGTCCCACAGAATCCATAGCATAAACAATGGTTCTTATATGTTACTAAATTCTTGGGCAATTGTTATGCAGCCATCGTACCTATATCAATGGTGGTTCCATATATGATACAAATAAACTAAAAGCAGGCCATACATGAAACAATGATGACAATGCATCATGAACCAAAGATAATGATTAACCCATTTCTGTACATCTAAGATCCCTTAAAAGGGGGAGGAATCATTAAAAGTTTTTAAATTTCATTAAATTTATTGGGGTGACATTGGTAAGGTTATATAAGTTCAAGTGTGCAGTTCTATAATAACATCATCTGTATGTTGCATTGTGTTCACCACCCCAAGTCAAAGTTTCCTTGTCATTATATATTTGACCCTTTTTCCTTCTTCTACCTAACTCCATGTTCCAACATATGGTCTATCCTTGAGAATGTTCCGTGTGCACTAGAGATGAATGTATAATCGGTGTTCAAGATGAAAAGCTCTGTAAATATCAATTATGTCCATTTGACCTAATGTGTCATTTAAGGATGATATTTCCTTATTGACTTTCTGTTTGGATGATCTATCCATTGTCAGTGGGGTATTTAGGTCCCCTACTATAATTATTTTTGTCAGTTTCTCTCTTTAGTTGTTAGTAGTTGCTTTACATATTTTGGTGTTTCTAGGTTGGGTGCATATATATTAATAAGTGTTAGGTCTTCTTGATGCACTGTCCCCTCTATCGGTATAAAATGTCTATCTTTGCCTTTTGTTACCTTTTCTATCTTGAAATCTATTTTGTCAGATATAAGTACTGGTACACTCATTTTTCTCTGGTTGTCATTTGATTGGAGAATCATTTTCCACCCTTCACTCTGAGTCTGTTTGTCCTTGCAGCTGAGATGTATCTCCTGAAGGCAACATATCGTTGGGTTTTTTGATCTAACCCACTCCTCTGTGCCTTTTAGCTGGTGTGTTCAGTCCATTTACATTTAGGATCATTAATGAAATACGAAGACTTCCTATAGCCATTTATCTTTTGTTTTCTGATAGTTCTGTGCCTCCATTGTTTCTTTTCCCTTGTGTTTCTGTCTCTTACTTTAGTTTGGTGGTATTCTACGACTTTTTTCTGTTTCCTCTTACGTTATGTGTCTTAGTTCTAGATTTTTTGTGTGATTACCATTAGGTTTATATAAAATAAATTTTCATACAGTTGTCCTTTTTTTTATGATTGCATCTTAACTCCATTCCCCTGTGCAAGTTCAGTCCTTTCCGCCCTCCTCTTTAATGCTTTTGTCATAAATTATCCCTTTTTATGCTGAGTTCATTTCCAACTTGCAGTAGTTATTGTTACCTTCTTCTTCTATAAATGTTTTTACTTTAGCTTTATGTTATATTTAATACCCAATTCTGAACAAGGGTTGTAATTTCCTGCTTCTTTTAGTCATCTGATAGTTTTGTATCCTTTTGTCGTTTTGTTTCAGAACATCTTTCATTATTTCCTGTAATGCATGTCTGGAAAAGCCTTCATACATGAAGGAATAATTCTCCTTCATATCTAAAGGATAACTTTGCTGGATAAATTATTGCTGGCTGGTGATTTCTCTCAATAATTTGAATATTTGTTTCCACTCTCTCCTAACCTGAAAAATTCAATGATAATCTAATGGGATTTACTTTGTAGGAGACCATCTTCTTTTCCCTGGCTGTCTTGAGAATTCTTTGTCATTACTTTTTTTGACCGTTTCAATCCAATGTGCCTTGGAGAAGGCCTTTTGGATTGAGATAATTAGGTGTTCTGTTTGCTTCTGGGATTTGAGGATCCAGTTCTTTCCATGGGTTTGGGAAGTTCTCGTTAATTATTTGTTTGAATAGGGTCTCTGTTCTCTTCTCTCTCCTTTCTCCTTCTGGTATATCCATTATTCTTATACTGCTTTTCTTTTTTTAATGGAGTCAGTTCTTGTAGATTTCTTTCTTTCATTTTCTTTTACTCCTCAATCTCTCTCTTTTTTCGTCTGAGTCATTTCTAGATTCTATCTTCG